ATACTTGTTAGGGTATTTGTGGAAGAAGTCCCTGATAACAATAATTGACTCTTGGACCACATAATCTGCTTTGGTCTGGATGAGACCAAGCAATGTGATGACACAAAGTTCTGCAGATTGTTCCACCTGATGGCACACCATCCAATGGCCTGCACAACTTTGCACAAAGAAAAAGTCAGCATCCACCTCTGTGATATATTCCTTCAGTCCTGCCAGAGCCTGAGCAGTATTGGCTTGGGATGCCAAACGAACCATGATGTCCAATTTCTCTAGTTTAAAATAGATGGGACCATTATATTTCACAAAGACTGATTCCCTGCTTCAAGATTCCAGGTCCTTTCTGGGCAATTGGGTTGATGGTCCTCAGGGCGAGTACTCACCTCTGCCCCCCAGACAGCAGAGTGGCAAGTTGGAGGGGCCAACTTCCTCAGCAGCATATTGTACTAGTGAGAGTCCTTGGGTAACGACTCTACACATCTCATTTGGACTTGCACTGCTGAAAGCACTGCTGAGTTGGCATGACATGGTCAGGGAATTGCCACTCTCAGATGCTCTGAGTCTCCCTGTCATCTTTAGGGTTGTAATTGGATAGGCAGCCCAGAATAAAAATGAGGGCCCATTCAGGTCATGGAATTATTCAATTAATATAGATAGAAATGTGGAAGTAAAGAGTAGAAGAAACAACTCAGTGAATGTGACCACTTGTGAAGAAATGAAGTGGGATAGGAGTGGGGGAGAGGGAGAAGGTAATGTTGGAGCCCTTTTTTATTTACTCTTTAACCACTATTTGACTTTTAAAACTAGTACTGTAATAAAAATAAAAATTAGCTTCAAAAGTGCAAAGAACACTAGGTTGAGTCATTGCCAGTCAATATGTATCAAAAAAAATGGAAACAACATTGGGGGAAGGGGGAGGAATGACATTTATATAAGGAAGTCAATTTCAAAGTAAAAAACATTAAACAAGATACAAAAGGCCTGCTTATTGTGATAAAGGAGTAAATCTATAATGAATAAACAAGTCTAATGTAACATCAAAAAATATAAAATTAAAAACTGTTAGAAATACCAGGAGAAAAAAACAACTGGGAGACTTTAATATCATGACTTTATGATTTGAATAAATAAGACCAAAAAAATATTATATATAATACATATTGAATTTTGTACCTTGCAAAGGGAAAACTATTTCTTTTCTAGCATCTATAGAACATTTCCAAAAGTTTATCATATTTTAGTCACAAATCTCTATAAATTCAGTAAATTATACTGACTGTGTTCTCTGACTATAATGAGTGTTACAAAAAGAGCATTGTGCAAGGCAGAAGTATTGAAAGACTAACTCCCTGGCAGTCAAGGTTGCCTAGTGAAGTGGCAGTAAGTGGGTTGATACAGCCTAGATCAGCAGTCGCCAACCTTTCGTACCTCACGGACCGGACCACCAGTGGTCCGCAGACCACCAGTTGGCAACCGCTGGCCTAGATGATAGTACCATGCTTTCCCCAATATGGTAACCACGAACCACATAAGGCTAGTTCATTTTAATTTTAGAGTAATTAAAGTCAAGTGAAATTTAAAATTCAGTTCCCCAAATATAACTAGCCACATTTCAATTGCTAAATAGTTCCATGAGGCTAGTGGCTACCATATTTGATAGTATAGATCTAGAACCTTTCCATCAAGATGGGAAGTTCTATCAGACAGTACTGCTGTAGAGATCCTGGAATAAATGTGGGAATTTTTGAACCTATTAAAAATCTAAAACATGTATGCAACAGCTTGATTCCCTAAATTAGGAACTGGCCTGTGCCCAAAATACCCAAAAGCTAGTACCAACGAGGTGGTTTCTTTGACTCAAACTAATTTTAACACACAAAAACATCAGGATGATACAGATAGATGGGATTACTCTTTATAATAGAGCATAGATATCTATATGCCTGTCCTACCAGTGCCAACTTTTAAAGGGTACATTTTGGGTTTGGGGCAACTTTATAAATGGCCTTCTGCCAAACTCTCTTCCCTTAAAATCATGTTTTTTAAAACCACTTGATGTCTTCAAAAATAGAAGGAATGTTATAACTCAACTTGTTTCTTTGTTGACCTGTTCCTTATTTTATACTAGGTGCCTGACACACGAAATTTGTGCATGGGTAGGGGGTCCCTAGCCTGGCCAGCGATCAGGGCCAATCTGTGGGGCAACTGGCAGGGCAATGGGAGGGGGTGGGCAGCTGCTGGCACCCGCCTTTGCTGGCCTGGGGCCTGCAGGCTGGGGGCAGTTCCTGTGTTGTGTGTCTGCCCTCTGGTGGTTAGTGTGCATCATAGCAACCAGTTGTTCCCCCATTTGGTCGATTTGAATATTAGGCTTTTATTATATAGGATACTAAACATTTATATTGTAACACTAGAAAAGAGTCTAAAATAGATTGTAAGTAGAGAGACATGCCTAGACTCTGGATGTCACAAGAAAGATTTAAGTTATAAATTAAGATTGACTTTGGAAGCCAATAAAAACCCCTTCGCGGTGGCCTGGTACCTTGCTATTCACATGGATCATGGCAATCTTTTCCTAGGAGACAGCAAAGAAAGAACCTCAAGACATTTTGGGAACCCCCAGAACTTGAGGAATTCACCCAAATCTATAGGTATTTCAGGCAAACGTTGAGGATAGCTCTGTGGTTTGGCTTCTTTGCCCTGAGAGGCTAATTAAAGTTTAATCTGGAGCTTCCTTATGAGATTCCAGCAAAGCAGATTTAAGAGAGCCTTTATGATCAATTACTATTCTTGTCTTATGCAAATAAGTCTAAATGGAAACTGGGCTTAATGAAGTAAATAGTCTTGATTTGGCTATCTTTGATTAAAAAAAAATTAGGGTGATTTTAGGGGGGAGAATTATGTTTCAATAGAATCAAGCCCTGAATGTGAATAAATAAAAATAAAAATAGTATCTATAATACACAGTTGTGGAGATTAGCCTCTAGTTAAAGTTTTATTTTTCACCTACAAACTGAATTGGATCCTGATTTTTTTTCTAGTATTCTTCCAAACTGATGTTTCATTTTCCCCCATCCTTTGACTTGGAATTATTGAGAACTGAAATTTTCTTTCTGAGCTCTGCACTTGCAAATTACAGCCAAAGGACCGGAGACAGCTCAAAGTTAAACAATCTTAATAACCGATGTTATGTAAACCATGCAGAATTTAATCACCAGAAATATCCAAACTGCAGATAAGGAAGATTAGATTGTCACTGCTTGCTTTCATTCTAGCAAAAGAAACTATCCTTACATCTAAAAATCTTCTGGACTGACTAGTCTTACAGAATCAAAACCTTTTATAATTTGCTGTGATCATTAACCTTTGTTTTCCTCTTGTTTTCATAGGCATACCTCTTATTCAATACCTGACTGCTTGTTTACACAATATAGGTCTCACTTTGGGAGCCCATCTGCATCTTGGCCTCCTGAAATGAGACTTAACAATTTAACTGAACTGACTTATTTTTAGGACTGCATTAATTGAGTCAATGAAATATGAAGCAGTCTGCTAACTTCACATCTGGAATGATACAATTCCATAATAAGATGATGAATGATGCTTCAGGGATTCTGGCCTACCCCCTGTTTTGGAAGAATCAGCTAACAGCCTCTCTGTTCCAGTCTCAAATCCCATTCCCTTGTTTTCCGTAGATCAGAGAGACCTCCATACCCTCTGTAGGCCAGGACCACAGCTCTTGGCAGCAGGAAGCAGTCACTGAAGACATCATAATTTATCACGC